CCATGGCCCCCGCCATATAAATAGCCGGACGTGAGCAGGGCGGAGTGGAGGGGGCCTTGCAGGGCTGGGGTCTTCCCCACCTCTGTCCTCTGTTGCACAGCCCCTTGTGTGAGCGCTCACACTCGTGCGAGGCAGGGCTCGGCGCAGCCCAGCGGGGTCTCACGAGGCCTGAGAGGTCACGGGGTCACTTCTCACCAGCCCAGGCCCTGATGCAAATCCTGTATGGGGGAGGGCAGTGTGAGGCACCTTTGCACGAGCGAGTGTGACCACACGGCGGGGCGCCACGTGGATCCGGGCCTAGCTGGGAAGGGACACAATGGCTGGGCCGATGCACAGGGGAGGGGAGGGGAGGGAAAGCTTGGCTCCGGGCCCCATGGCTGGCTGGAGGGAGAAATGGGCGCCGTGTTCACCCTGGAACCTACCAACAACTGCACACGATCTGGGAGCAGTGCCAGGCAGTGCCCGCAGGCTTAACCCTTTCCCTGCCGGCCCACCTGGCAGCGCTGGGGCTGGGGGTGCTGCCAACTCTCCTCTCCCTAACCTTTCCCCCCACAGGGTATTCCCTGGGGCAAGGGAGAGCAGCCTCCTGGCTGGTGCAAGGGGCATCTCCCGCCCAGTGCCAGGGCCAGGCCTGGTCTAAAGGGGTGGGCAATCAGGCAGGCAGGGGTTAATGGGGAGTGGGTGCGGGGGCGCAGTGTGTGTGGGGGGCACATTCCTCTGCAGCCTCAAAGGGCAGGAGGGGGCGGCACCACCCACCCCTTTCCCTCACCCTGCTGCCCTGTGTGCACGCGGGCGTGCATGTGCTGGTTGGCCTGTGCCTGCGTGTGTGCACGCGCTGGTCGACCTGTGTGCGCACGTGTGTGCATGTGTGTATGCACGTGCTGGTCGGCCTGTGTGCGCGTGCACACGCACCTGCGTTTGCATGCATGTGTATCTGTGCACGCATGCAAATCTTTATGCGTGTGTGTGCATGCACAGGCATGTTGTGGTGTGTGCGCACGTGTGCTCGCGTGCCCATGCTGCGTGTGTGCAGGCCTGCTTGAGAGTGAGGATACACGCGTGTACCCATGTGCACACGCCCTGAGGTGCAAGCGCGCGGGGGGGGCGCGTGTGCCCCAGCGCGCACACGCGTGTG